GGAGGAAGGAAGGAAAGGAAGGAAGGAAGGGAAGGAAGGAAGGGAAGGAAGGATTTGGTGAGAACCAGGAAGGAAGGGAGGGAAGGGAGGAAGGAAGGAAAGGAAGGAAGGAAGGATTGATTGATTGATTAATTGATTGATTTGGTGAGAACCAGGAAGGAAGGAAGGAGAGGAAGGAAGGAAATGAAGGAAGGAAAGGAAAGGAAGGAAGGAAGGATTGATTGATTGATTAATTGATTGATTTGGTGAGAACCAGGAAGGAAGGAAGGAGAGGAAGGAAGGAAATGAAGGAAGGAAAGGAAAGGAAGGAAGGAAGGATTGATTGATTTGGTGAGAACCAGGAAGGAAGGAAGGATTTGGTGAGAACCAGGAAAGAAGGAAGGAAGGAAGAAAGGAAGGAAAAGAGAAATATTCAAAATAGACTTAAACAAGTTTTAACATAAACAGTAACAACAGAATACTCTGAAAATCAGAGGGCAGGGAAAGTCAGTTTTCAACAGGAGAAGTGACCAAGAAGGAGTGACAATTCCAGGCTTTGCAAAAAAAAAGACATTATAAAGGTGACATTTGTGTATTCTCAGCTTTTTTTTAAAAAAAAGGAAAGGAAAGGAAACAGAACAGAAGCCTTAGAGGTGAGGGAAGCATCTGAAATCGGTACAGATTTCACTTAAAAACAAGACAGTCATCAAACATTAATAATACGATAAAGGCACCACCCACGCTTACAGTAGTTATTGTCAGTCCCAAAGTAATTTGAAAACTGAGAATCATTAACTAGGTTAAGGAAGGGGGGGGAAAAAACACCGCCAAGCAGGCTGGAGAGAAAGTAACTTGGGTGCTGTGGGATGAAGGATTTAGGACAGGAGGAGGGGTTCCTGACCATGTCACTCTTGGCCCATATGGATCTGGAAAAACAGATGATGCGAGACTGAAAAACGCCGAGCGTTTCCATCGGCGAGAAAGTCTTTTGCAATTCGTTGAATGGTAACAGTCTTGTAGGGATGGGCGCAGGAGTCTTTGCTCCTTCTTAACGCGAGATGTGTGATCTCTGTGTATTTTTTTGCTTGCCTGCTTGTTTTGTTAAGCGGTGGTACCCCTTACCCCACCCCAAAAAAAGACCCCTCCCCAAAACCCCAGACGTTCGTCAGGATGATGATGCCCTTTCAGTCTCTGCTCTTGGTTTTTTAGCCTTCCGTCATTCCCAGATGGAGTGACTAGAGAACATTCTGAAAATCTGTAGCAAAAAAAAATAATCATTATTATTAATAATCCTCGTAAGACCAGGAATAATAATCCTGCTTGTATCAAAGTCTCCCCTTCCTCTCCTGGAAGGCGGGAAGAGTTCTCAAGCCAAGTGGACGGTTGGCCTCTAAAATTGTGCTACTTTCTCATCATGGATCTCGGTTTGGAGAAGGAAGGGAATTCGGTTGGAAGGAGTCAAATTTCCCAAGGTGGAATAGAAAAGTGTCAGCAAACTTCGGAATATTGCTATATCGCGCTGACCCAAGTCTTTGACAGGTGCTTCCCTTGAAGAGATAGCTCTGTCGCTCTTCAACCAGGGAACGTTGGACTTTCCTGGCTTCAAGTGAAACCTGGCTTGTTGTTTTGTTTTCTCTTGACAAATCTTTGCTTTGTTTTTTTTAAAATTCTTTCTTTTAAAAACCAAACACACAGACAAAAAAAAACCAAAACAAAGGAGCCCAAACAGAGACATTGGCCTCAGACAGTCACTTCTGTCTTGCTGTTAGTGATGAAATATGGCTGTGTGGGTAAATAATGCTGACTCCGTGTGGTCAAGGGGTCCCTGGCGGCCGGATCGCCCATGAAGTTCCTGCCTTTGGTGGCGTAGGCTTGTCTCCGAAGGGACTGGTCGCTGGGGTCCCAGGTCTTGTAGGCCAAGGGGTGCATATGGGGCTTGGGGACTTTGGATTTCTGTCCGTTTTGTTTCATGGTGCCCCCTTCCAAGATGTACGGCCGATCTTCCTCCATGTGCACTGGGTGCAAGGGGAGGCTACCTTTGGCAGCCAGCTCAGCCAGGTGACGCCGCTTGGAGTAGAAATCGTCGCTACCTTTGTCTGCTGGTTTTGAAAGAAGGAGAGAGAGAGAAAAAAAAAAGGAGGGTTAGAATAGAATAGAATAGAATAGCAGAGTTGGAAGAGACCTTGGAGGTCTTCTGGTCCAACCCCCTGCTTAGGCAGGAAACCCTACACCACATCAGACAAATAGAATAGAAAAGAAAAGAAATCAGTAATAGAATAAAGCAGAATAGAATAGAATAGAATATAAAATAGAATAGATTAGATCAGAAGAGAGGAGAAATCAGGAATAGAATTGAATAGAATAGAATACAAAATAGAATAGAATATAAAATAATAGAATAGAACATAAAATAGAATAGAATATAAAATAGAATATAATATAAAATAGAATAGAATAAGAGAATTGGAAGGGACCTTGGAGATCTTCTAGTCCAACCCCCTGCTTAGGCAGGAAACCCTACACCACATCAGACATATAGTTAGAATAGAATAGAATAGAATAGAATAGAATAGAATAGAAATCAGGAATAGAATAGAAATCAGGAATAGAATAGAAATCAGGAATAGAATAGAAATCAGGAATAGGAATAGAATAGAATAGAATAGAAATCTTCTTTGACCAAGTGTGATTGGACACACAAGGAATTGNGGAGGCTCAGGGAGGGCGAAAAACAGGCCTATCGGAAGTTTAGAAAGGCAAGACATGGGCCCACTTCCAGCTTCCAGAGGGCCTCTGGAGCCCAGGGGAGACTGTTTTTGCCCTCGTGGAGGCTCAAAGGAAGCCTCAGAACCTGGGGAGAGCAAAAGCCACACCCCCGTGGTGCAGGAGGCTGACTAGGCCACGCCCACCATGGCCACACCCACCCAGCAACGGAGCAGAGTACCCCCTTGCTAACATTTTTGAAGCCCGCCCCATAAGGATGTAAAACAATGGATTGAAACCAGTGGTAGGATTCAGCCAGTTCGCACCACTTCAGGAGAACCGGTTGTTAACCTTCTGAGCAATTTGGTGAACTGGTTGTTGGAAGAAATCATTAGGGCAGAGAACCGGCTGTTAAATTATTTGAATCCCACCACTGATCGAAACGTCTACCAAACAGCATTGGTTTAATTAATGTCAGCAAACATAATTTTTTTGGCAGCCAGCCAATCAAGGCTTCTACCCCCCCTCCCTCTACTGGGGAGGGGGCAGGAATAGGGATTAAGAGTTAGACCGACAGGATGGGGGAAACAGTGAGTAGCCCTATGTAAGAAGGCTTAGGAGCTGTCCGTTGGTGGCAATAGTCCCAACTCCTAGTAGCAAGTGTTATCCATTAGGGAAGATGGTTTTCAATTTAGGGGGAAATTGAATTACGCACTGTTAGGCATATCAGAAATCCAGATGACCATTATTCTGGCCAAAACAGATACAGGAAGTCCTTGACTTATGACCATGCTTGGGCACCAGAATTTCCAGATGGTTATTAAGTGAGTCACGCTCGACTTTACAACCTCTCCCCCCCCCCAGCAGTGCTTGTTAAATGAATCTCTGCAGTTATTAAGTGGTTCAAATTTCAGCAAATCTGACTCCCTTCATTGATTTTTGCTTACGAAAACCTGGCTGGGAAAATCCACCGGTGGAGATCACCAGATCCTGCTGGGAGACTCTGTAGTAAATTACAGGCCAAGTTGTACTTATTTTGATCCTGTGAATTTTGATCCTGCGACAGCATGGGTGTTCAATGGTCATAAGTGCGAGGACTGGTTTGCAAGATGCTTCCTTCAGGGTTTCTATGTTTGACTATGTCCACAAGTTTGAACAGCCACTAAGAAAAACGGTTTTAAGTCCGGGGCTACCTAGGGATGCCACCCAGTGGTCATAAGGGTTTTTGCAGCTTAGATTCTGATAATAGTAGATCAGGCTCACTGGTCTCCAACCTTGGCAACTTTAAGACCTGTGGACTTCAACTCCCAGAGTTCCTCAGCCAGCAA